GCACTGGTCAACGCTCTGGGAAGTCGCTCTGGATAAGAGCGTCTGCTAAATGATTAAAATGTAAAATGTAAACACCTTACAGAAATCAACCATGCAGTATCTCTGGCATTTTCTGACAATTTTGTACTGAGTAAATAATAATAATAATATAAATATAATATGCCATTTAGCAGACGCTTTTATCCAAAGCGACTTACAGTCATGCGTGCATACATTTTTGTGTATGGGTGGTCCCGGGGATCGAACCCACTACCTTGGCGTTACAAGCGCCGTGCTCTACCAGCTGAGCTACAGAGGACCACATGAGGTATGTTGTATACATTGTTTAGTTTCTGCTGGGGTCAGGTTGCGGTATGCAACTTCACCACGCTTAGGAACATTAACTTACATACAATTCACATCTTAATAATTATTCTACATGTATAGCTAGTGTTCTTATCAGACCATTTCTTAACCTCCTCATGTACTATAGCTTATTTTCGATACCAATTTTTCTTAGCACAATTCTCGTTGCACTTATACAGATCCCAAGTAATTTAATTTAGTATTTAAGTTCTCTCTCTCTCTCACACACACACACACTTTCCCCTCGCCCCCTGCCTCTGTCAATCAATCAATCAATCAATCAATCAATCAATCAATCAATCAATCAATCAATCAATCTTTAAACCTCTAACCCTCTAACTGAACTCTGGAAGCCAGTTCCACTGCTGTTTGTTCATTCTTCCCCTCTAATCAGGGACTGAAGCCAGTTCCACTGCTGTTTGTTCATTCTTCCCCTCTAATCAGGGACTGAAGCCAGTTCCACTGCTGTTTGTTCATTCTTCCCCTCTAATCAGGGACTGAAGCCAGTTCCACTGCTGTTTGTTCATTCCCCTCTAATCAGGACTGAGCCAGTTCCACTGCTGTTGTTCATTCTTCCCCTCTAATCAGGGACTGAAGCCAGTTCCACTGCTGTTTGTTCATTCTTCCCCTCTAATCAGGGACTGAAGCCAGTTCCACTGCTGTTTGTTCATTCTTCCCCTCTAATCAGGGACTGAAGCCATTTTCCACTGCTGTTGTTCATTCCTTCCCCTCTCATCAGGGACTGAAGCCAGTTCCACTGCTGTTTGTTCATTCTTCCCCTCTAATCAGGGACTGATTTAGACCTGGGACACCAAGTGGGTGCGATTAATGGTCAGGTAGAACGTAAAACTAGCAGGCTCTGGTCCTTGTAGGGTAAGAGTTGAATAACCCTGCTCTAGGACGTTAACTATCTCAGTTCCAGTGCTAAACCATCATTAACTCTTGAATCACCTGATCAGTAACTTTCAAGTTCTGCGTTATTTCTGGCTTGACCACAGCTCTGCCCAACTTTGAAACGGCTTTCTCCTTGATGAACGCAAAGGACAACTCTCAAAAACTGTTCACTTTATGATTTTTTATTGTCATAAGATGGAACAGAATAGGTTTGATAACCTTTCAATTCAAACACACAAACAAAAACCCATTGGATTAGTTACAAATAACCCTCAATTCCACTTTCTCAAAAATAAGCATAAACTAATGTTACTGAATCCTCAAACCTAACCAAACAATCATTTCATCATTTAGATTAACCTAGGATCATTGCAAGTTAATAATTAAATATCAATATCATAATTAAACATTTAACAATACACAGGATTATAGTAACGTTACTGTCAAGTTCTACGTTCACATAATGAAGTCTTCACTATTTAATTTAATTAATAATTGTATTGTATGTTACAACCAAACAAAAGGGCATATAGAAGCATGAATTCACAACACATTCTGTCCTACCAGTTGCGTCTTTGGATGATCAGGAGCTGTGGTCATTGGTATCTCTTCTCAGGAATGAGTGAGAGCCAAGTAAGCTTTTACCAAACATTTCGATGCCATGCACATGCACTGCTTGTGGGTGCGCAGGTTAATATGGTCCCCCCAGAGCACTTCCTGGTGGTTGGTTTTCAACAGCTCCGGTTGCATGGTTGCCCCCTGCAGGTTGGGAGTGCTTTGAGCACCCTCATTAACTCTGAATCACCTGATCAGTAACTCACCACCAACACTATGATCAGCTGAGTCAGTGGTGTTAAAAAAAACATATATGCCATTTAGCAGACGCTTTTATCCAAAGCGACTTACAATCATGTGTGCATACTTTTTTACGTATGGGTGGTCCCGGGGATCGAACCCACTACCCTGGCGTTACATGCGCCATGCTCTACCAATTGGGCTGGAACTAAAGCCTGCACCTCCTGGAGGCTAGCTCTCCAGGTCCAGAATATATGCCATTTAGCAGACACTTTTATCCAAAGCTACTTAATAAAAATCCTAACGTCGCTGAGCCTCTTCCATTAAACGGCCGTATTTGCTGTAGTGTTGTTTGTGTTGCTAGCGTAGTGGTGAGCACACTAAACCATGTAGCACTGACGCTGGTCACACTACAAGGTTCTTCACTGGGTCCTTATGGTTCTCCAGGTTTCCTAGCTACCCATGTTGTCACGGTGTTGTATGGTTCTCCATAGCTACCGCTTGTACGGGTTTGTTCTCCATGCCTATGGTTGTCCTGAGTCCTTGTTCTCCATGCTCCATATAGTCACTGGGCCTTAGGTTCGCATACACGTGTGTCCTAGGTCCTTATGGTTCCATAGGCTGCCGTTTGCATGGGTACTTATTTCCCACATTTTACGATTGAATGTCCTTATGGATTCCATAGCTACGTGTTGTCACTGGTCCTTTGGTTCCCATAGCTACCATGTCACTGGTCTTGGTTCTGCTTACCGTGTTGTCCACGGGTCTGGGTTCTCATAGCTACCGTGTTGTCACTGGGTCCTTATGGTTCTCCATAGCTACCATGTTGTCACTGGGTCCTTATGGTTCTCCATAGCTACCATGTTGTCACTGGGTCCTTATGGTTCTCCATAGCTACCATGTTGTCACTGGGTCCTTATGGTTCTCCATAGCTACCATGTTGTCACTGGGTCCTTATGGTTCTCCATAGCTACCATGTTGTCTCGCCAAAAACAACGATGGGATTCGAGTTAGCGTAGCTACGAGCTGTGTCTCAAAGCAGCCTCACACATGTTGAGTCAGACGTTGCCATGCAGAGCTGAAATATCTAGCCAACATTTTATGAATTGAATGACATTGCTTGTGAACTTCAGAGCTGTAGCAGTGACACTTTTGCTTTGGTTAACGACAAGTCCAAACGCATACTATTAGTAGTCGTCGTCATGGCTCCTGCTTGAGTCTCCGCCTTCTGGGTGACGCGACACGTCGTCATCTCACTGGCTTCCTCTCTGGTGAGCTCTCATTGGCTACTGCTGATCACCGTTCTCACACTACCAGTGGTGGAACATATAATAATAAACCATTTAGCAGACGCTTTTATCCAAAGCGACAGTCATGCGTACATACATTTTTACGTATGGGTGGTCCCGGGGATCGAACCCACTACCCTGGCATTACAAGCGCCATGCTCTACCAGCTGAGCTACAGAGGACCACCATTTAACCAGTTGTCATACTTCAGTAAAGATACCTTAATAGAAAATGACTCAATTAAAAGTGAAATTCACCCAGTAAAATACTTGAGTAAAAGTCTAAGTATTAGGTTTAAAATATAACAAATAAATGTAATTGCTAAAATATACTTAAGCATCGAAAGTAAAAGTATAAATAATTTTCAAATTCCTTATATTAAGCAAACCAGATGGCACCATTTTTTTTGTTGTAATTGATGGATAGCCAGGGGCTATCTCCAACACTCAGACATAATTTGCTCCTGTAAGTCGCTCTGGATAAAAGTGTCTGCTAAATGACTAAAATGTAATGTAAATGTAATAATTTACAAACGAAGCAATTGAGTTTAGTGAGTCTGCCAGATCAGAGGCAGTCGGACGACCAGGGATGTTCTCTTGATAAGTGCGTTAATTGGACCATTTGTCTGTCCTGATTAGCATTCAAAATGTAACGAGTACTTTTGGATTTCATGGAAAATGTATGGAGTAAAAAGTACATTATTTTCTTTAGGAATGTAGTTAAGAAAAAGTTTTCAAAAATATAAAATAGTAAAGTAAAGACACCCAAGTATGGATACTACTTAAGTAGTACTTTACACAACTGCATTGACGATTTTGTGCCGATAAAATCAAACATGTTTGAAACTATCAGGATGAAAGAGTCCTGAAACCCTACTCAAGTTGAAGTAAAATAGTACTCTGAAAAGCTGCTCAATTACAGTAACGAGAGCAGTAAATAATTACTTTACAGCTCTGCACACACACACACACACACACACAGACAGACAGAGAGGGAGTAGCGGAGGTGTGTGTAGTTTGGTTTATTGGCAGACAGCAGCACTAGAACAGGAAGAGGCAGAAAGGCAAAGCACAGCCAACAACATTGTTACAGTGTCATCCTGACAACGTCATCCTAACACAGTAACAGTGTCATCCTGACAACGTCATCCTAACGTAGTAACAACGTCATCCTAACACAGTAACAACGTCATCCTAACGTTGTAGTCTGACGTTGTAACAGCTGTTAGAAACAGAGCAGAGAACTGAGGAGTCGGGGTTAGGGTCAGGGTCAGGGTCAGGGTCAGGGTTAGGGTTAGGGTCAGGGTCAGGGTCAGGGTCAGGGTCAGGGTAAGGGTCAGGGTCAGGGTCGGGGTTAGGGTCAGGGTCAGGCAGCAGAAAAACAGGAAGCCTTAAAAAAATCACTGACATCTCACAGGCTGCAGCTCAAAAGGCTCCCTTCTCCCCCACGTAGTGCACTCCTTTCTCTTGGAGAACCAGACGTAGTGCACTCCTTTCTCTTGGAGAACCAGACGTAATGCACTCCTTTCTCTTGGAGAACCAGCAGCAGCGTCACCAGTCAGACTGCTGCAATAACCTCCTTAGAACACCTCACTGCCTCTCTCCACTCCTTTCTCCTCAGTCTCCCCCCCCCTCTTTCTCTCTCTCTCTCTTTCACTCGTTTTGCCACTAAAGGCACTTATCCGTTCCATGTCTCCAGATTAAGACAGTCTAGCAGTGGTGAGATCTGACGTAGAAATAAACAGAGTACAGCAGACAAAGTACAGCAGTAGTGACATCATCATGACATACACCAGGTTTGTGCAAACTACTATCTACGCATGTGTGCTGCGGAGTGTGTGTGGGCAGAGTGCAAACGGTATGTTTCCAGTGCATACCGGGCGCGTGTGTGTGTGTCTGTGTGTGTGTGTGAGAGAGAGAGTGTGTGTGGTGCAAGTGTGTCCTGGGTCTTTAGGTGTGACAGAGAGCTACAGCAGAGAAGCGGACCTCTCCCTCCCCTCTCTCCACAAAACCCCGACACACCCTGGCTGCATCCTGGGGAGAGAGAGACAGAGAGAGAGACAGAGAGACAGAGAGAGACAGAGAGAGGGGGGGGGAGAGAGAGAGACAGAATATGAATGCACTAACTGTAGCTCTGGATAAGAGCGTCTGCTAAATGACTCAAATGTCATAGGTGGTAGATGATCAGTTAACAGTAAATGAAGGTTAGATGAACATCCCAGATAGCGCATAACCCTCTGGCCAAGTAAACAGACGTCTGGAAGATGTATTTAGAATGCCTACATATTAGCTCATTGGCCAGACGTCTTGCAGATGTATTTAAAATGCCTACATACGACATGGTTTAGATGTTGGCCAGGCATCAACATTATATTCTGATGTCTCGGTGACGTCTTCCCAATGTACAAATGGAGGTCCACACTACAATTTCCAGAAGCTTTCTACAAGCTTCACCTGCATAGATCTACAGGCCTGCTGTGCTGGGGGGGGGGGGGGGGGGTAGATGTTTTAGAGCAACATGCACCTTTTGGTAACATGATACCTCACCGGTCCAGACTCCCAAATAGCAACATTTACAAGAGGGCGACAGAGGTCCTTGTGGTCTTCTCATGTGGTGAAAGCAAAATAAATATTTTGTCTCGTCTTCCCTCATCTCCAAGTTGGCTAAACACAGCAAGCTAGTTAGCCTTTTAGCTTCCCTCATCTCCAAGTTGGCTAAACACAGCAAGCTAGTTAGCCTTTTAGCTTCCCTCATCTCCAAGATGGCTAAACACTGCAAGCTAGTTAGCCTTTTAGCTCCCATATCTCCAAGATGGCTAAAGACAGCAAGCTAGTTAGCCTTTTAGCTTCCCTCATCTCCAAGTTGGCTAAACACTGCAAGCTAGTTAGCCTTTTAGCTTCCCATATCTCCAAGATGGCTAAACACTGCAAGCTAGTTAGCCTTTTAGCTTCCCTCATCTCCAAGTTGGCTAAACACAGCAAGCTAGTTAGCCTTTTAGCTTCCCTCATCTCCAAGTTGGCTAAACACTGCAAGCTAGTTAGCCTTTTAGCTTCCCATATCTCCAAGATGGCTAAACACTGCAAGCTAGTTAGCCTTTTAGCTCCCATATCTCCAAGATGGCTAAAGACAGCAAGCTAGTTAGCCTTTTAGCTTCCCATATCTCCAAGATGGCTAAACACAGCAAGCTAGTTAGCCTTTTAGCTTCCCTCATCTCCAAGTTGGCTAAACACAGCAAGCTAGTTAGCCTTTTAGCTTCCCTCATCTCCAAGTTGGCTAAACACAGCAATCTAGTTAGCCTTTTAGCTTCCCATATCTCCATGTGAAATAACCAGATTCATAATTAAATAATACACCCTTGCAAATATTCTTATACTTGCCAGTGTAACCTACAACATTATCCCAGTTTCATATACTGCTTGAAGGGATTCACTCCCATATCAGCTAACCGTAGAATGTCGTGTTTTGATCGCAGAGAAAAAGCACATCGCAGCCGTTTTTACCAATAACCTGGAATCACTAGTTATACTTCTAAACAAAATACATTTTGGGAGGATTCTAATAAAGGCTACAATGTTGTTTGGTTTATTGTTTGAACACTTGTTGAGATTATATTTGCTTATCAATGCAAAAATAGGCTACTTTGATGCCTAGCCTATAGATCAGATCAAGGAACCAAATCAAGCTTCATTGCCAACACTGTCCCCATGGCTACGGAAGGGATGATCCGGCACGTTCCAGTTATCACGTGGCACGGGAGTACGTCAAAATGTCGGAACCCACTATAAGGAGACGCCCCCTTTTTTGTGACGGAAAACGCTCTGTAGGGCTCGTCTCCGTAGGGTAAAAAATAAAATAAAAAATAGCCTTTACACAGTTTGATACGTTGGCCGAAGGTGCACAGGTCTACTGGGATTAGATGAATGGAAGAGGAACGTACCTTGATGAAGGAGTCATCCTTGGTGGTTCCATGGTTCACCGGTCCCTCCATCCTACCATCTACACAACACATCATTAACACACATCGTGAGAAAGGGGAGAGATACACACCTGGGGAGAAGGGTGGAAAACTGAGACTCAGCCATACACTCACCCAGCTCATAAAGCTGTCCTTTCACATTGACGAAGGTGATAAAATGGAAGTTCACTTTATCTGCCTCCACCTGAAAGAGAAAGAGGGTAGGAGAGAAAGGGGGTAGGAGAGAAAGGGGGTAGGAGAGAATAACATATGAAATGATACATGTATAGATCAATACACAGTAACATCTGGAGGTGGTCCTTATGTTGCATGGTGTGTTCTCACCCTGCACTGGCCCTGTGCCGACACTTCATCATGAGCCTCTCTGATGGCCTGCAAGAGACAGCAATATATACACATCTACATTAAACAGAGATTATAGAATATATATATTATATACACACACAAAACATATGTAGACATATACAGAAGTGGAGGCTCCTCAGAAGAGGAAGGGGAGGACCATCCTCAGTGAATTCCATAAAAATAGTAAAACATTGAAGAATCTTATCATTTTTTTGATTAAACTACGCTAAATATATTCGAGTCAGCAAATAATTGATTAAAACACACTGTTTTGCAATGAAGGTCTACAGTAGCCTCCACAGCACTCTGTAGGGTAGCACCATTGTGTAGCCGGAGGACAGCTAGTTTCCGTCCTCCTCTGGGTACATTGACTAAAATACAAAACCTAGGAGGCTCTTGGTTCTCATCCCCTTCCATAGACTTACACAGTAATTATGACAACTTCCAGAGGACGTCCTCCAACCTATCAGAGCTCTTGCAGCATGAACTGACATGTTGTCCACCCAATCAAAGGATCAGAGAATGAATCTAGTACTGAAAGCATAAGCTACAGCTAGCTAGCACTGCAGTACATAACATGTGGTGAGTAGTTGACTCAAAGAGAGAGAAAGACAATAGTTGAACAGTTTAACAAATTAATTTATTCAAAAATGAAGGAGAAGCAAGAGAGCTATAGAGAGAGTCATTTTTTTCATGTTCTGTTTCACTTACTTAGCTAGCAAATGCAGCTAGCTAGTTTAGTTACTCAAACAGAGGGATGCTATGTTCCAAGTTAATGTAAGCTTTTGGTTACACTAACGTTATTGCATGATTGTAGCGGGTTTACTAAGGCGTTAGTTCTATTAGCTACGTTGACTAATGACGTTACTTTAGATAATATGGTGAGAAGGATGTAGGCTGTTTGTAGCGGTTATGATATGGTTTGGCTTGGAAAGGTTTTTTCACCTGGTCACATACAGCTGATGTGTTGTTCATTGAAGTCCACAAGCGAAGGGAAAATGTGAGAGGAGGAGAGCGCATAGAGGCGAGAAGGAATACAACGTGGCTGCTATGAAAGTGAACTGTGTTTATGCGTGATCAGGGGTGTATTCATTACGCCGATTCTGTTGAAAAACGTTTCTTAAACGGAAGCAAAACGAAACGGGGATAAAAAATACCTGAATTTTGTCCAATAGAAACTCTTGTTTGCAACTGTTGGACTAATGACTACACCCTAGATAAGCTAGATGCAGGCAAGAGTGTGCAAGGCGGTATTTAATGCGTCAATGTCTGTCACCTTGATTATTCAAAATTCTCTCTGTGTGCACCCACATTGTAAACTTTCATTCATAGGCTTGGTTATAGCAACCTCTTGATGGGTACAGGGAAAATGGAGTATCATGTAGTAGCCTAAACCAATCGATGTTACATTGAGCTGGGTGGATGGAATATGAATGACAGTCATCCAACATGCTGTAATAGAAATAAGGCCATGCTCATAAATAAATAAAATTGTCCTCCCTCATCATAAATGGCACTGACATACAGGTATCTACACATCTACATTAAAAACATCCAGCGCCTTCGCAAAGTATTCAGACCCCTTGACTTTTTCCACATTTTGCTATGTTACAGCCTTATTCTAAAATTGATTAAATTAATTGTTTTCCTCAATCTACACACAATACCCCATAATGACAAAGCGAAACCAGGTTCAGACATTTTTGCTAATGTGTAAAATAAAAAACAGAAATCCCTTATTTACATAAGTATTCAGACCCTTTGCTATGAGACTCCAAATTGAGGTCAGGTGCATCCTGTTTCCATTGATCATCCTTGAGATGTTTCTACAACTTGATTGGAGTCCACCTGTGGTAAATACTATTGATTGGACATGATTTGGAAAGGCACACCTGTCTACATAAGGTCCCACAGTTGACAGTGCATGTCAGAGCAAAAACCAACCCACGAGGTCGAAGGAATTGTCCGTAGAGCTCCAAGACAGGATTGTGTCGAGGCACAGATCTGGGGACAGGCACCAAAAAATGTCTGCAGCATTGAATGTCCCCAAGAACACAGTGGCCTCCATCATTCTTAAATGGAAGAAGTTTGGAACCACCAAGACTCTTCCTAGAGCTGGCCGCCCGGCCAAACTGAGCAATCGGGGGAGAAGGGCCTTGGTCAGGGAGGTGACCAAGAACCCGATGGTCACTCTGACAGAGCTCCAGAGTTCCTCTGTGGAGATGGGGAGAATCTTCCAGAGGACAACCATCTCTGCAGCACTCCACCAATCAGGCCTTTATGGTAGCGTGGCCAGACGGAAGCCACTTCTCAGTAAAAGGCACATGACAGCCCGCTTGGAGTTTGCCAAAAGGCACCTAAAGGACTCTCAGACCATGATAATAATATAATATGCCATTTAGCAGACGCTTTTATCCAAAGCGGCATACAGTCATGTGCGCATACATTTTTACGAATGGGTGGTCCCGGGGATCGAACCCACTACCCTGGCGTTACAAGCGCCATGCTCTACCAATTGAGCTACAGAGGACCACATGAGAAACAAGATTCTCTGGTCTGATGAAACCAAGATTTAACTCTTTGGCCTGAATGCCAAGCGTCACGTCTGGAGGAAACCTGGCACCATCCCTATGGTGAAGCATGGTGATGGCAGCATCATGCTGTGGGGATGTTTTCAGTGGCAGGGACTGGGAGACTAGTCAGGATCAAGGGAAAGATGAACGCCGCAAGTTATAGAGAGATCCTTGATGAAAACCTGCTCCAGAGCGCTCAGGACCTCAGACTGGGGCGAAGGTTCACCTTCCAACAGGACAAAGACCCTAAGCACACAGCCAAGACAACACAGTAGTGGCTTCGGGACGAGTCTCTGAGTGTCCCCGAGTGGCTCAGCCAGAGCCCGGACTTGAACCTGATCGAACATCTCTGGAGAGACCTGAAAATAGCTGTGCAGCGACGCTCCCCATCCAACCTGACAGAGCTTGAGAGGATCTGCAGAGAAGAATGGGAGAAACTCCCCAAATACAGGTGTGCCAAGCTTGTAGCATCATACCCAAGAAGACTCAAGGCTGTAATCGCTGCCAAAGGTGCTTCAACAAAGTACTGAGTAAAGGGTCTTAATACTTAAGTAAATGTAATACTTCAGTTTATTATTTTTAAGACATTTGCAAAAAATTCTAAACCTGTTTTTGCTTTGTCATTATGGGGTATTGTGTGTAGATTGATGAGGGGGAAAAACAATTTAAATCAATTTTAGAATAAGGCTGTAACGAAATGTGGAAAAAGTCAAGGGGTCTGAATACTTTCTGAATGCACTGTACCTACAAATTAAAAAATTTAAAACCTATATAATGTAAACATATACATGATGTATTCCTATAAGTTCCAACACCATATTGATCTGTAAAGCCATGCATCTGAGAACCCAGCAGCTCTCTGCCGTCCTCTAGTGGCCAAGATGACAACTGCAGCTTCATGTCTGACGTGAGCAAAAAACGGTTTGACAGTTCCAACGTGAAGTGGAAACGTCTAGGAGCAACAACGGCTCAGCCGCGAAGTGGTAGGCCACACAAGCTCACAGAACGGAAACGGCGAGTGCTGAAGCGCGTAAAAAAAAAAAGTCTGTCTGTCCTCAGTTGCAACACTAACTACCGAGTTCCAAACTGCCTCTGGAAGCAACGTGGCACCTTTGGAGTTCCGCCCAAGGAAGGCATTTGATTGGTTTGATGTGTTGTGAGGCTTCACTGATTTCCACCCTGGGTTCCAACCACTCTTTAGCGGATTTCTGACATGGATCTTCACAGGCTTCCCGTTTTAAGGAAGCCTGGTTCACCACGAGGCTAGACTAGAGGCGTGTCCCAATAATATCTCTACTTTCTCCTGAAGTGTGCACTCGTTCACTACAAATCTACAAGCGTTGGGTTGGTGGAGGAAGCACGGGCTACAGGGGGTTTCTACCATAGTCCAGCTAGAGGGGGTTTCTACCATAGTCCGGCTAGAGGGGGTTTCTACCATAGTCCAGCTAGAGGGGGTTTCTACCATAGTCCAGCTAGAGGGGGTTTCTACCATAGTCCAGCTAGAGGGGGTTTCTACCATAGTCCAGCTAGAGGGGGTTTCTACCATAGTCCAGCTAGAGGGGGTTTCTACCATAGTCCAGCTAGAGGGGGTTTCTACCATAGTCCAGCTAGAAGGGGTTTCTACCATAGTCCAGCTAGAGGGGGTTTCTACCATAGTCCAGCTAGAGGGGGTTTCTACCATAGTCCAGCTAGAGGGGGTTTCTACCATAGTCCAGCTAGAGGGGGTTTCTACCATAGTCGGGCTAGAGGGGGTTTCTACCATAGTCCAGCTAGAGGGGGTTTCTACCATAGTCCAGCTAGAGGGGGTTTCTACCATAGTCCAGCTAGAGGGGGTTTCTACCATAGTCCAGCTAGAGGGGGTTTCTACCATAGTCCAGCTAGAGGGGGTTTCTACCATAGTCCAGCTAGAGGGGGTTTCTACCATAGTCCGGCTAGAGGGGGTTTTCTACCATAGTCGGGCTAGAGGGTTTCTACCATAGTCCAGCTAGAGGGGGTTTTCTACCATAGTCCAGCTAGAGGGGGTTTCTACCATACTCCAGCTACAGGGAGTTCTACCATAGTCCAGCTACAGGGGGTTTCTAACCATAGTCCAGCTACAGGGGGTTTCTACCATAGTCCAGCTACAGGGGGGTTCTACTACATAGTCCAGCTACAGGGGGTTTCTACCATAGTCCAGCTAGAGGGGGTTTTCTACCATAGTCCAGCTAGAGGGGGTTTCTACCATAGTCGGGCTACAGGGAGTTTCTACCATAGTCCAGCTAGAGGGGTTTACCATAGTCGGGCTACAGGGAGTTTCTACCATAGTCCAGCTAGAGGGGGTTTCTACCATAGTCGGGCTACAGGGAGTTTCTACCATAGTCCAGCTAGAGGGGGTTTCTACCATAGTCCAGCTAGAGGGGGTTTCTACCATAGTCGGGCTACAGGGAGTTTCTACCATAGTCCAGCTAGAGGGGGTTTCTACCATAGTCCAGCTAGAGGGGGTTTCTACCATACTCCAGCTACAGGGAGTTTCTACCATAGTCCAGCTAGAGGGGGTTTCTACCATAGTCCAGCTAGAGGGGGTTTCTACCATAGTCCAGCTAGAGGGGGTTTCTACCATAGTCCGGCTAGAGGGGGTTTCTACCATAGTCCAGCTAGAGGGGGTTTCTACCGTAGTCCAGCTAGAGGGGGGTTTCTACCATAGTCGGGCTAGAGGGGGTTTCTACCATAGTCCAGCTAGAGGGGGTTTCTACCATAGTCCGGCTAGAGGGGGTTTCTACCATAGTCCGGCTAGAGGGGGTTTCTACCATAGTCCAGCTAGAGGGGGTTTCTACCATAGTCCAGCTAGAGGGGGTTTCTACCATAGTCCAGCTAGAGGGGGTTTCTACCATAGTCCAGCTAGAGGGGGTTTCTACCATAGTCGGGCTAGAGGGGGTTTCTACCATAGTCCAGCTAGAGGGGGTTTCTACCATAGTCCAGCTACAGGGGGTTTCTACCATGTCGGCTAGAGGGGGTTTCTACCATAGTCCAGCTAGAGGGGGTTTCTACCATAGTCCAGCTAGAGGGGGTTTCTACCATACAACAAGTCCACACTTTGGGAGGAAGGAGCGATAATTGGGACATAACCAAGGTGTGTGTGTGCGTATATTATAATAATATGCCATTTAGCAGACGCTTTTATCCAAAGCGACTTACAGTCATGTGCGCATACATTTTTACGTATGGGTGGTCCCGGGGATCGAACCCACTACCCTTGGCGTTACAAGCGCCATGCTCTACCAGCTGAGCTACAGAGGACCAGTGTGTGTGTGTGTATCACTGTGAATGTGTGTGTGAGTGTAAATATATTACTGTGTTTGTGTATTACTGTGTGTGTATATAACTGTGAATGTGTGTGTTACCTGGTTGTTCTCCAGGTGTGTGTGACCTGGTTGTTCTCCAGGTGTGTGTGTTACCTGGTTGTTCTCCAGGTGTGTGGCTCGCTGGGCGGGGGTCATGTCAGCCGTCTCATCTAGAAACTTCTTCAGAGCAGAGTCACCATCTGGCACAGAGAGAGCACTGTTACACACCACGCCACACCACGCCACGCCACGCCACGCCACGCCAGAAACCTGTCTTACCTACTACATACTGTGTACTCTTCATACTACATACTATTTAGAACAGACTGATTAGTGAAAACAAGCATTTATAATACAAAATAATAAAACATTAAATAAAGAAAACCCAGAAGAAAAACTTATTTATCAGCTGTTGTCAAACACACTGCAGACCAGTCTTCCTCAATAGTGTTCAGTGAATTCTACTAGATAAAGACCATTCTCTTCCTCAATAGTGTTCAGTGAATTCTACTAGATAAAGACCATTCTCTTCCTCAATAGTGTTCAGTGAATTCTACTAGATAAAGACCGTTCTCTTCCTCAATAGTGTTCAGTGAATTCTACTAGATAAAGACCGTTCTCTTCCTCAATAGTGTTCAGTGAATTCTACTAGATAAAGACCGTTCTCTTCCTCAATAGTGTTCAGTGAATTCTACTAGATAAAGACCGTTCTCTTCCTCAATAGTGTTCAGTGAATTCTACTAGATAAAGACCGTTCTCTTCCTCAATAGTGTTCAGTGAATTCTACTAGATAAAGACCATTCTCTTCCTCAATAGTGTTCAGTGAATTCTACTAGATAAAGACCGTTCTCTTCCTCAATAGTGTTCAGTGAATTCTACTAGATAAAGACCATTCTCTTCCTCAATAGTGTTCAGTGAATTCTACTAGATAAAGACCGTTCTCTTCCTCAATAGTGTTCAGTGAATTCTACTAGATAAAGACCGTTCTCTTCCTCAATAGTGTTCAGTGAATTCTACTAGATAAAGACCGTTCTCTTCCTCAATAGTGTTCAGTGAATTCTACTAGATAAAGACCGTTCTCTTCCTCAATAGTGTTCAGTGAATTCTACTAGATAAAGACCGTTCTCTTCCTCAATAGTGTTCAGTGAATTCTACTAGATAAAGACCATTCTCTTCCTCAATAGTGTTCAGTGAATTCTACTAGATAAAGACCGTTCTCTTCCTCAATAGTGTTCAGTGAATTCTACTAGATAAAGACCGTTCTCTTCCTCAATAGTGTTCAGTGAATTCTACTAGATAAAGACCATTCTCTTCCTCAATAGTGTTCAGTGAATTCTACTAGATAAAGACCGTTCTCTTCCTCAATAGTGTTCAGTGAATTCTACTAGATAAAGACCGTTCTCTTCCTCAATAGTGTTCAGTGAATTCTACTAGATAAAGACCGTTCTCTTCCTCAATAGTGTTCAGTGAATTCTACTAGATGTAAAGCCCAATGACTATGACATCATGACATTTAAAGCACTACATGTTCTAAATATCACATACTATAAACGTTCTATTTTCACATACCCAATCAGCCTACTATTTAGAACGCAAGTATGGGTATTGGGACATTGCCCCCATCTTGGCTCCATGCGGGACCATTTCCTACTCACCGTACTCTATGTGGGTGGGGTTGTTGGCAACTGCGTGCAGCAGAGCCACAGTGCCACAGGAGTTGACCACCGTCTGTTTCAGGAAGTAGAGGCCTGGAGCCCCCGACACCTTCCCAGCCTGCTGCTGCCGGAACGACTCATGCTGAAACACACGCCGTTATCATCATCATCATCATCATCACGCTACATCAGAGTTTCAAACTCAGTCCTGGGACCCCAAGGGTGAGGTTTAGTGTCCTGGGACCCCAAGGGTGAGGTTTAGTGCCCTGGGACCCCAAGGGTGAGGTTTAGTGTCCTGGGACCCCAAGGGTGAGGTTTAGTGCCCTGGGACCCCAAGGGTGAGGTTCAGTGTCCTGGGACCCCAAGGGTGAGGTTCAGTGTCCTGGGACCCCAAGGGTGAGGTTCAGTGTCCTGGGACCCCAAGGGTGAGGTTCAGTGCCCTGGGACCCCAAGGGTGAGGTTTAGTGCCCTGGGACCCCAAGGGTGAGGTTCAGTGTCCTGGGACCCCAAGGGTGAGGTTCAGTGCCCTGGGACCCCAAGGGTGAGGTTCAGTGCCCTGGGACCCCAAGGGTGAGGTTCAGTGCCCTGGGACCCCAAGGGTGAGGTTTAGTGCCCTGGGACCCCAAGGGTGAGGTTTAGTGCCCCAGTACTACACAGCGGATTCAAAGAATCAACTCATCATCAAGCTACTAAAGCAAAAACCAAACCGTGCACCACCTTTGGGTCCCCAGAACAGAGCTGTCCAATGTATCAATAAAGACAGTGCTGCTAGATCAATGGTTACCTGTTGTGTCAGGGGGAAGAGTAGCATGAGAGCACAGCAGGGAGTCGGTACTGAAGACACTCCCTCGTCCTCCAGGCCCAACACGTCCACGAAGCGCCAGCTACCACACACACCCAGCCCACTGAGCACCTGCAACACACAGCGCAGTCAAACAACATTAACGTTTCCTATCAGTCTCTACAGAACACCTAGAACAGAGCTCAACACCAACATGATAGATTAGAACACCCAGAACACCTAGAACAGAGCTCAACACCAACATGATAGATTAGAACAACCAGAACACCTAGAACAGAGCTCCAGACCAACATGATAGATTAGAACACCCAGAACACCTAGAACAGAGCTCCAGACCAACATGATAGATTAGAACACCCAGAACACCTAGAACAGAGCTCAACACCAACATGATAGATTAGAACACCCAGAACACCTAGAACAGAGCTCAACACCAACATGATAGATTAGAACACCCAGAACACCTAGAACAGAGCTCAACACCAACATGATAGATTAGAACAACCAGAACACCTAGAACAGAGCTCAACACCAACATGATAGATTAGAACACCCAGAACACCTAGAACAGAGCTCAACACCAACATGATAGATTAGAACACCCAGAACACCTAGAACAGAGCTCAACACCAACATGATAGATTAGAACAACCAGAACACCTAGAACAGAGCTCAACACCAACATGATAGATTAGAACACCTAGAACAGAGCTCAACACCAACATGATAGATTAGAACAACCAGAACACCTAGAACAGAGCTCAACACCAACATGATAGATTAGAACAACCAGAACACCTAGAACAGAGCTCAACACCAACATGATAGATTAGAACACCTAGAACACCTAGAACAGAGCTCAACACCAACATGATAGATTAGAACACCCAGAACACCTAGAACAGAGCTCCAGACCAACATGACAGATTAGAACAACCAGAACACCTAGAACAGAGCTCAACACCAACATGATAGATTAGAACACCCAGAACACCTAGAACAGAGCTCCAGACCAACATGATAGATTAGAACACCCAGAACACCTAGAACAGAGCTCAACACCAACATGATAGATTAGAACAACCAGAACACCTAGAACAGAGCTCCAGACCAACATGATAGATTAGAACACCCAGAACAGAGCTCAACACCAACATGATAGATTAGAACACCCAGAACACCTAGAACAGAGCTCAACACCAACATGATAGATTAGAACAACCAGAACACCTAGAACAGAGCTCAACACCAACATGATAGATTAGAACACCCAGAACACCTAGAACAGAGCTCAACACCAACATGATAGATTAGAACAACCAGAACACCTAGAACAGAGCTCAACACCAACATGATAGATTAGAACACCTAGAACACCTAGAACAGAGCTCCACACCAACATGATAGATTAGAACACCCAGAACACCTAGAACAGAGCTCAACACCAACATGATAGATTAGAACACCCAGAACAGAGCTCCAGACCAACATGACAGATTAGAACAACCAGAACACCTAGAACAGAGCTCCAGACCAACATGACAGATTAGAACAACCAGAACACCTAGAACAGAGCTCAACACCAACATGATAGATTAGAACACCCAGAACACCTAGAACAGAGCTCAACACCAACATGACAGATTAGAACAACCAGAACACCTAGAACAGAGCTCAACACCAACATGATATATTAGAACACCCAGAACACCTAGACAGTATCTGGAACTCACCCAGTCAATGACATCACTATACTCATATATATATATATAGTAGAATGTAGGCCTAAAGCGTTAAGTTCCTCTGCGTACACGTCACTGATGATCTGAAATGGTCCACCCACACAGACAGTGTGGTGAAGAAGGCGCAACAGCGCCTCTTCAACCTCGAGAGGCTGAAAGAATTTGGCTTGGGCCCTAAGACCCTCAAACGTTTACAGATGCACAATTGAGAGCATCCTGTCGAGCTGTATCACCGCCTGGTACGGCAACTGCACCGCCCGCAAACCGCAGGGCTCTCCAGAGGATGGTGCGGTCTGCCGAATGCATTACCAGGGCCAAACAACCCGCCCTCCAAGACACCTACAGCACCCGATGTCACAGGAAGGCCAAAAAGATCATCAAGGACATCAACCACCCGAGCCACGGCCTGTTCACCCCGCTATCATCCAGAAGGCGAGGTCAGTACAGGTGCATCAAAGCTGGGACCGAGAGACTGAAAAACAGCTTCTATCTCAAGGCCATCAGACTGTTAAACAGCCATCATTAGCCGGCTCCACCCGGTTACTCAACCCTGCACCTTAGAGGCTGCTGCCCTATATACATAGACATGGAATCACTGGCCACTTTAATAATGGAACACTAGTCACTTTAATAATTTTTACATACAGCTTTACTCATCTCATATGTATATACTGTATTCTATTCTACTGTATTTTAGTCAATACCACTCCGACATTGCTCATCCTAATATTTACATATTTCTTAATTCCATTCTTTTACTTTTAGATGTGTGTATTGTTGTGTATTGTTAGATACTACTGTACTGTTGGAGCTAGGAACACAAGCATTTAGCTACACCCGCTATAACATCTGCTAAATATGTGTATGTGACCAATAAAATGTGATTTGATTTACAGAGCGTTGGCGTTTATACCTGGCTTCCGTATCCGTTAAATGTCCGTCAGAAGAGAGGGTCGAACCAGGAGCCCGACTTGAAACCCTCCGTGGGAATGGACACTAAACCTCCATGATGACTCGACAGAACAGGCCTCATTAAAATACAGCAATAATATTATAGTCACTACGCATATCTTCGCTGTTCTAACGTCTTTATCAGAACATTACCGCACGGCTGCCTGTCCCAAATGAATAGCGATGAACTTCAAATCAGACCCAGAGACATATTGATCTTTAGTCTGTCCTCTCCCCATCCATCCATCCGACCACGCCCTGTATCCTAGACACCGGGTGGGGCCCGAGGCCCGTAGTGGCAGAGATGCTACCGGGGAGACAGACGGTAGCCTACTAGGGCTAGGCTATATTCTAACGGCTGGTTCACCTTCTGTACATCTGTCGCTCTGCTGTTTACATGATTATTATATGATCATCTGATGCTAACTAGTAGTTTTAACTCCGACCGGGCCAAGTCCATAATAACCTACCTGTAGATTATAATGTCCTGTTGTCTGGTTATAACGTCATATACAACTGGACATGAATACTGTCATCATATCTGTTATGACTCGGCGATATATTATACACACACCTTGTTCAGCATCTGAAACACAGACAGACAGACAGAAGGAGACATTAGACAAACACCGAGAGAGCGTTGGAACAGAGCAGGCGCGCATATTAAGTTTCAGTCTTATGATAGACTTATTATAACAACAACATATTTATTAAGATGAGTCTCTACCTCCGGGTTGATCTCCATTGGTTGCCACTCCATCATGTTCGGTAAGGTTCGGTCCGGTATGTCGGTCTGTTTGTTAAATGTTCTCTGCTGCAACCAGCTGCTGAATTGGGAGATATATGATCACACGGTGCGCGTGCACCCGCTTCATATGCTGCCGGTCATATTCCATTGTGCGGTTCGGAGGGGGGTGCGCGAGAACCGGAGAAACAGCCACTAGATCCTCCCGTAGCCTCGCCTCGTTTGTAAACAAGACAATAAATATTGCAGTGAAGTATTGGGGTGTGTGTGTGTGTGTGTGTGAGCGAGAGAGAGAGGTGTGTGTGAGGTGTTCTGTGTAGTTAGTTTTCACGAGCAGTTTAAAAGGTGGACTGATCCAATCCCGACACACACAAGTGGAAGCTTCAGTAGCCAAACTGAGAGTTTGGTGGGTTATGGGCGCGTTCGAGCAGATCACTTTTGTCAGATGGTCCAAGTCTTTGCATCAGTGGGATAGAAACGGTCCCGACTTCACCACACGATGGCCTTGTTCGAGAGCATCAAAACGACTGCCGACTGACTTGATCTACAAATCACCTTGCATCATAAATGATGACTCGTTATTTGTAGATCAGTCAGTCATTCACAATTTTACCCATGATACATTGCGTTTTGATCCTCTCGAACACAGCCGTTCACTGCATGAACTTTACAAAAAAATCATGTGATCAAAGTCATGGAGTTTTGACTGCAGAGAACAGCAACATTCTGTAGCTGCTCTTCACCATAGAGAATGATAGAGGACTCTAGTGGCCAAAAGGTTGTATGATCACGGGCAGAGGAGGCTGGTGGGAGGAGCTGTAGAAGGACGGGCTCATTGTAATGGCTGGAATGGAATAAATGGAAGAGAGTCAAATATGTGGTTTCCATATGTGTTTGATACCGCTCCATTTTAAAAAAACATTCCAGCCATTACAATGAGCCCGTCCTCCTACAGCTGCTTCCACCAGCCTCCTCTGGTAGTCAACTGGGTGGGACTTCCAACTTCATTGGCTGATCCCTCCTGGTGACCCTGTTGGAGTCATGTCCAAGGGGGTCATCGGGAGGGATCAGCCAATCGGGAAGAAGACAATGCACTCCTTAACAATACGAAAGTAAAAATGACTGTAAGTCGCTTTGGATAAAAGCGTCTGCTAAATGGCATATTATTATTATTATTATTATTATTATTATTATTATTACAATGGCGATAGCCTCAATGTCGCTGCCCGTGTTGTCACAGATGCTATAATGGCACAGATGGAAAGATGAGTATCTCTCTCTATGCTCTTCCCCAGCTTCCTCCTGCAGCCATCGCCTGCATTGTGGGAGGCTCTATCGTCAACCAATCATTAGGGGGTTTCTGTTTGACCAATGCGAACGTGACCAAAGACATAGCAGAAACAGGAGAAAAAACTTTGCCGTGATTCATACTGTGGATATATACAGTACAAATGAATATAATATTAGTCTCTCTCTCTCTCACTAACTGATTATACAATGTGCACACGTATGACATTAGTTAGTGAGTGGGTGATATGGGGGTTGGAGACATGTTGAGTGGGTGATATGGGGGTTGGAGACATGTTGAGTGGGTGATATGGGGGTTGGAGACATGTTTATTTAGATATTATAAAGAATAACTTTTATAAACAATAGATGTGGTCAAGAGGTCAATGGACCTCGACCAAAACAATGGCAATACCATGGAAACACACGGGGGAAAGATCCCCAATCTCCTCGTCGCCTCCCAGCTAAATTACCCTACATTTAGCCTGTTGTCTATATGTGTATTTCACACTATGTTGAGGTAGAAATCAGAGTATAATGCTTGTATGGACGTCAACCCCAATACATGTTCATGTCATCATTACCAATCAACTTACAGTTAAAAACGACTTTGACTAGGACCACCGCCGATTTCTGTATGCTAGCTATGCTAACAGCTTATACGAACGGGAGTTAGCATTTAGCAGTCACTTCATCTAAACCTGAAAAGGGACAACTTCTAAATGTTAAGCAGCGAAAACAGCCAAATATATCAAAATTGGACTTTAGTAACCACATTGTGGGCCTGTTACAATGCATAAATCATGACGGATTTGACGAATATGCACTATGTTAGATCAGATTTGACGAATATGCACTTTAGAATGAAATAAACACTCTAATCAAAAAATAATTCAAGACAAGAAATAATGAACAACAACTCTATTCAATCAGAATAGAAAAAAAAGTAACTTTGCGCCTCAAATTAAGAAGTTTTGACTCTCGCTAGCTAGCTACACAACAAAAACCTAGCCAGCAGGCTAACAATCTAGCCAGAAAATGTTTGCTAGAACAAACCTAGCAAGGGGAGTTAATACAACTACATCAAACGACCAAACTGAGTGAGTAAACCAAAAAGGAGCACGGCCTCTAACGTTAAACATATCTTCTGTTTTTTTGTGTGAAGATTTTACACTCTCTAGGAGACGCCACAGGAGGAGAGCGACCCCCTCAGTGCAGAGCAGGCTCAGGCCCTCCTCATCACCATGGCTGCCATGAGGGATCAGTTCACCACACTGGAGGGGGAGGTGGTCCTGCTCAGGGAGAGTGTGAGCAAACAGCAACCAGACATCCACACCTTAGAGGAGCTCCTAACCAAGGTGCGGACAGAGCAGGACAGCAGCCTTGGAACACAGCTGAAAGAGGTTCAGCAAGAGAGAGACGGACTCAAGAGAGAGCTGGCTGATCTAACAAAGGAGGTGAGAGAGCTCCAAAAAGCCAGGCAGAGCAGTAATAACGAGCTGACCACACTAAGAGAGGAGCTGCAGGAGAGAAAGAGAACAGAGGACAGACTGCAGGAGCAGCTAGATCACCACTCTATGACCTGCCATCACACAGCAGAGGAGCCCACCTCAACCAGCCAGGCCTCCCCAGCCCTGCCGGCTGCATGCCTCCCCCCCAGCCCCCAGAACAGCCTCCCACTGACAGCGGCACCGGCACAGACCAGCCACACCCCAGCTCCAACACCCACCAGCCCCAACTCTACCCCCTCCAGTCCAGAAGAAACACTGGCTGACATCGTCCTGTTGATGGACTCAAATGGGAAGTTTGTTCAGGAGAATAAGCTTTTCCCTAGACACAAAACGAGAAAGATGTGGTGCCCAACAACGCAGAGTGCCATGGAGCTCGGGTCGCCAAGCCACAAAATCATACACACCGGAAGCAACGACCTGCGTGCTCAGCAGGAGAGGGTGGTGACCTCACTACGGGGAGTGATTGAGAAGGCCTCCACAATCTTCCCCAACTCAAGGATCGTAGTGTCAACCCTTCTACAGAGGAAGGACTTCCACCCTGCCACAATCCAAAGAATAAACGCCAGCCTCTCCCGGGACTGTGCCCTGCGACCCAATGTACACCTGGCCCACCATCCCACCCTCCATCTGGACTGTCTCTATGACCATGTTCCCCTGTACAGGGAGACAGTCCCCATCCTTGCCAAGTCTCTCAAGGACGTCGCTTTAAACCACAGCCCGACCTCTCCACCCAGGAACAGCGGAGCAATCTCCAACCCCCCGAGATCACAGAGACAACACCCCGGACCAGCACCCTGGGCCTCCCCAGCCACGGCCACAGCACCACCAACCTCAACGCCCACCACAGCCAGCGCAGCACAGACCACCCCAGCCCAGCTTCAGACCCACCCAGACGAGGCCTAACACCCCCCTCCCCTCCACCGCAGACCCACACCTGGAGGAGCCACAGCCCGGCAGGCAGAGCTATGCACAGGATGTGAGAGGAGCAACTGGCCCAGCCCCCACCATTGAAATGAGTGACATTAAACACATGCTGAGTCTACTATGCTCACATGTGATAGGCCGAGGGTCATGGTAAGATGAGCACAAGAACTCCACCATCCTCACACTACATCTACCCAAGTGGCATGACACAAATACTATCTTAAATGATAAACAAATCACATTTGCATAAAAAGAGTTGACGTTAATTGTAAAATCCTATTTTAATAGTTATTGTTGGATTGTGAGTGTTTATCTAATTTTGAATGTAAAGAAAAAAACAGTTATGAAATCTTTTCACGTTGCATGTTGGTATTTATAAGGTTGAGAGAATGCCAAGAGTGTGCAAAGCTGTCATCAAGGCAAAGGGTGGCTACTTTGAAGAATCTCAAATATAAAATATATTTTGATTTGCGTAACACTTTTTTGGTTACTACATGATTCCATATGTGTTATTTCATAGTTTGATGTCTTCACTATTATTCTACAATGTAGAAAATAGTAGAAATAAAGAAAACCCTGGATTGAGGTGGTGTGTCCAAACCTTTGACTGGTAGTGTATATCTAATCAAAAACACAGAGACCCAGACAACAAAAATATACACCTTCAATATGGGGAAACACTGAAGCAAGACAAACACACCCTAAGAACAAAAAAGGAACAGCACATTAGAAATCAGCTGGATGTGATTGAGGAATCCATAGAATCAAACCACTTCTGGGAGAATTTGAATAAATTAAACAATTTAAATTGGCTATCCAAAATGGGGATATGTGAAGAAATGACTTTGCAAACCTCTACAGCGAGAGAGCCCAGAACAAAAAGATATACAAGAAAAATTACAAATCCTTGAATCAGCAGTCAAAGACTATCAGAATCCTGTGGATACCCCAATTACAGAACAATAATTATTGGGAAAGCGATGCACTCTCCAACCCCAAAGGCCTGTGGTGCTGATGGTATTTTAAATGAAATGATCAAATATACAGACCACAAATTCAAATTGGCTATACTCAAACTCTTCAACATTATCCTCACTGCAGGTATTTTCCCCGATGTTTGGAACCAAGGATTGATCACACCAATCTATAAAAATGGAGACAAATTTGACCCAAATAATTACAGAGGAATTTGCATTAACAGCAACTTGGAGAAAATTCTCTGCAGTATCATAAATAGCAGATTATGTCATTTCCTTGATGAACACAACGTCCTGAGCAGAAGCCAGATTGGATTAA